TTTCCTCAGCTTTTCCCTTTGCCTGGCACCATCTCCCAGGGGCAGCCCGGCCCTGCTGCACGCCGTGGCGTTGGAGGGAGATGGGGAGATGGTTTTTTTCCGCCTCGCCGCTAGCGCGCTCTCGCCCTCCTCTCGTGTTGCAGTGCAGGTTGGCCAAGCAGCGGGCAAACAGCTCGCAGGGAGGGAAAAAAAGGGTGCCCGGAGGAGCTGGGGCTTTGCAGAAGGACCTTTGAAACCCACCCCCACCACCTCCACCACCACCTCCACCACCACCACCACCCCAGCCCAGCAGCTCGCTACCTTGCCGGTGTTTTTTCCAGGCGATGCCACACCTCCCGAGGACACTGGGGACATCGGGTTTTGCTGAGCTTGGCATCTTCTCCCCGTCGTCGTTGTCGTCGTCGTCGTACCGAAGGCATCAGACAGACGCTCATCTGCCCTGAAGTGCGGAGCTGCAACAGCTACCGAGAAGACTCTTGTCTCTCTGTCTCTCTGTCTCTCTTTCTCTCTCTTCTCCAGTCCAAACCATTACAAGACCTGACTTCCACCATCTGGGAATCTAACCCCTTTTTATATCCCTTCTCCTTTTTTTCTACGATGACTCACCATTATTTTTAACTTTGAAGAGAGAGGAAATTATGGGGATCTTGGAAGCCTCTATTTCTCTCTAGGATTTCCCCAAGGGTCAGATAATCGGTGTTACTAAGAGACACTAAGATTTGGCTTCTCCAGGTAATGTGATTTGTTTTCTGTGTGCCATGGTGGTTTGCAGAGGATGACAGGAGCCGGGACACCAGCGGTCGAGGAGGAGGAGGGGGACTGCAGTGGTCGGCGGGGCAGCTTCCGTGGCCAACTGGGAATCCCAGTAGCCGCAGAGCTTGCCCAGTGGGCTGCAGGCAGGGAGGGCAGCATGTCGCCTCCCCCCCTCTGCTATACGGCCGGGGCAAGAGGCTGGGGAAGGTGGCAAACTTAATAAAAAAAAATAAGACAGAGAGGAGGGTAGATTGCCTGCGATCGAACGGTTAAATCGTTAACCCTTAGCTGCATGCCTGGAAATGAGCTGAGCCTCCCCCCTCCCCAGCACCCCGCGGGGTCCCCTCCCCATCTTCAGGCTGGAGGGGGATATTTTTCTTCCTTTCTCTTCCTTTCCCCCTCTCCCCACCCCCCTTTTTTTTTTAATTGGAATTTTTAAATTTGAGCCAAAAAAAAAATACAAGTTCTGGTTTGCCAATGCCGGTTTTTCCGCGCTGGTTTTGAATAGGTGACGGTTCCTCAGGTGTTTTCTCTCTTCCACCTAATGGGTTTAGACGGGAGTTTTTGAACTCAGTCCCAAAGGAGGCAAATTAACCCCCCCCGAGGAAGGGGATAGACACGGTAGCGAAGGGAGCTGCTCTCCTCCCCCCAACTTTATTTCATCTCTCTCTTTCTCAGCAGGGGCAATTTTCTTTCCCTTTTTTTTTTTTTTTTTCTCTCTCTTTTTTATTTTTATTTTCTCTTTTTATTTTTATTTTTTTTTATCATCCCTTCGCCTTTTCATGAGACACTTCCAAACCTACGTACCTGTCCTTCTGCAGGATAGTAGCCCTGCCCTGAATCCGATCCCACCACCGGGCACTGGGAAGAGTTTAGCATAAGGATTTCTTTTAAACCCCAATATGACAGTTGCTACTGGAGATCCTGCAGATGAAGCTGCAGCTCTTCCCGGTCACCCGCAGGACACGTATAACCCTGAGACCGACCATGAATGCTGCGAGAGGGTGGTCATTAATATTTCGGGTCTGCGCTTTGAGACACAGCTCAAGACACTCGCCCAGTTTCCAGAGACCTTATTAGGGGATCCTAAAAAGAGAATGAGATATTTCGACCCGCTCCGGAATGAGTATTTTTTTGACCGGAACAGACCCAGCTTCGATGCAATTTTATACTATTACCAGTCCGGTGGGAGGTTGCGGAGGCCGGTGAACGTGCCCTTAGACATCTTCTCGGAAGAGATTCGTTTCTATGAACTGGGGGAAGAAGCGATGGAGATGTTCCGGGAGGATGAAGGCTACATCAAAGAAGAGGAAAGACCGTTGCCCGAGAACGAGTTTCAGAGACAAGTGTGGTTGCTCTTTGAGTACCCCGAGAGCTCGGGCCCTGCCAGGATTATAGCTATTGTCTCCGTCATGGTGATTTTAATCTCCATCGTCAGCTTTTGCCTGGAAACCTTGCCCATTTTTCGGGATGAGAACGAAGACATGCACGGCAGCGGGCTGAGCCACCCCCCTTACTCCAACAGCAGCATGGGGTACCAGCAGTCCACCTCTTTCACAGACCCCTTCTTCATCGTGGAGACACTTTGCATCATCTGGTTCTCCTTTGAGTTCTTGGTGAGGTTTTTCGCCTGCCCCAGCAAGGCTGGGTTTTTTACCAACATCATGAACATTATAGACATCGTAGCCATCATTCCCTACTTCATCACCTTAGGGACGGAGCTGGCCGAGAAGCCGGAGGATGGGCAGCAAGGCCAGCAAGCCATGTCCCTGGCCATCCTCCGAGTCATCCGCTTGGTGCGGGTCTTCAGGATCTTCAAACTCTCCCGACACTCCAAGGGGCTGCAGATCCTGGGCCAGACTCTCAAGGCCAGCATGCGGGAGCTGGGCCTCTTGATATTTTTCCTCTTCATCGGCGTCATCCTCTTCTCCAGCGCCGTCTACTTTGCCGAGGCCGACGAGAGCGAGTCCCAGTTCCCGAGCATCCCCGATGCCTTCTGGTGGGCCGTGGTTTCCATGACGACTGTTGGCTACGGAGACATGGTCCCCACCACCATCGGGGGGAAAATAGTGGGTTCCTTGTGTGCCATCGCTGGCGTATTAACGATTGCCTTACCAGTGCCCGTCATAGTGTCTAACTTCAATTACTTCTACCACCGGGAGACGGAGGGAGAGGAGCAGGCTCAATATTTGCAAGTAACCAGCTGCCCAAAGATCCCCTCTTCCCCTGACCTAAAGAAAAGCAGAAGTGCCTCTACTATTAGTAAGTCTGATTATATGGAGATTCAGGAAGGCGTAAACAATAGCAATGAGGATTTTAGGGAGGAGAACTTGAAGACAGCCAATTGCACCCTCGCTAACACAAACTATGTGAATATCACCAAAATGCTAACCGATGTCTAGTCGCTAAAATCTAGTACCGTATTTAAAGCTGAAGTGGAACAATTGCAGATATTGAGTGCTGCTCTGCATTGTAGTTAATACAGTATTTTCTACGGTGTATATTTGGTTCTGCATGGGAAGCAATAGCTGTGTAAGTGACTTTTAACCTTTGATTTCCGCACCGAATAAGCGTTCGTGCAAGAAACAATAACAAAACCCAAACCATTTCGTCTCCCTTCTCCCATCCCCAGGCTTGTGGGTTTTTTTCCAAAGATCTGGCTTTCCAAAGATCTGGGTTCCTAAAGATCTGGGTTTCCAAAGATCTGGGTTTCCAAAGATCTGGGTTCCTAAAGATCTGGGTTTCCAAAGATCTGGATTTCCAAAGATCTGGAGCCCTAAAGATCTGGAGCAGTCGGGCATTTCGAGCAATGGGATGGGGATGCTGGGGTTGGGGGGCAGGAGGTACAGCTCCGGGTCATCCTGGGGGTACCAGGAACACCGGTCGCCATCCCCAGTCCCTGCTGGGTGACAACAGGCTTCCAGGCGTGGGGAAAGGGCTGGGAAAGGTCAGGCAGAGCTCGGTGAGGGGAAGATGCAGTCGTGGGGCCGAATTGCCTGAAAGCTGAGGTTTCCGCCCCGGGAATGCCAAGTGCGAACGCATCGCCCAGGCTCATGTTTCATAACGGAAAATGCTGCATGCTGCAATAGTTTCAGCCACTGCAGTATGCCAGTGTGAGGCCCAGGGGAGGGATAATTAGTATGACGGCACATTATTTATTAAGTCTTAAATTTTCTATGCTAGGCATCGGGAGGGATGAGTAAATAAATCAAGCGCTTGGATTTTATTTATTTATTTAGATGACACTTCCATCACCAGTTATTTCCAGGATCACCAAAGACACCTCCACAAAGACACATTGAAAATGAGTTGGAAAAAGCATCTTTTTTTATATCTATATATAAAACTGGAGCAACTATGCTGTGGCCTATAATATATTTATACTGCAGTGAAATTTAACCAGTAATACAGTACAGCTGCATGGATATTTGTTGCATGAATCTGAATATTTAATACACACACAAATATATATTTTCTTAGTAGGCTATACAGTATTCATGTTTATAGTGTTTATAGATTCTCCGGTGGCTCGAAGGAGATTCGTGGAAGTTAAAAAAACTCCCCATTATATTTAAAAACTGGATGGGGGAGGCATGTGCTGACAACAGTTTGATAGATAACAAGGCAAAGCCTGAGTGTCCGAGCATCCAGACACAAGAGCCAACTAATGCAAGCCAGGGAAGGTGAGCTGAAAGTTAAACACCTGCACTCATTATAGGGCGAGTAATTAGTCATTAATCTTGGTGTCATGAGCAGAACCCACAGCAGATCAGAGAGGGCACGAGGAGCAGGTGGAATAGCAGGTACCGGCTCTCCTGACTTGTTTGTTCAGCAATTTTTTAGCTGTTTCCTGTATAATTATCGTGTGTGTGTATATAGATATTTAGAGAGCGACTATAGGGCCGAATTCTCAACAAATGTGAGCACTTGGAGCATCAGGGACTTCCTGGCTCAGGGGTTCAGGGATGGTGGGACACGGGCTGGAGCAGGATGACCTGCCCCTGGGTGCCCATGGGATCAGCAGGGCAAGGTGCATTTTGGGCTGAAAAACACTTTTTTTCAACCACGTCGAGCCCAAGGGCTGGTGGTTTATTCCTTTGTGGTGGAGAGGACACGTGCTGAGGGTGGGCTGGATCTGAGCTGGTGCCTCTGAGCCTTGGCTTTGCCTCCTCCCAGGGTTTTAGGAAGGGTGAGTCGAGCTGCAGAGACCCTGAGGTTGTCTCTGCTTCTTCTTCATCCCGGTGTTATTTGGGGAAAGGTGGGGGCTGTTGTTCTGGGGGGATCTCACCTGCTTTCCCCGTTCCCATCAAGATTTCCTTGTGTTTCCCCCCCCGTTGCTGCCAATCCCCAGGGATAGACGTCCCGTTCCTCTGCCAAGCCAAGGAATAGAGAGATGCAAACCTCTTCTGAGGTTGTGGTTGAGCAAAACCTCCCCGGGGTGTGGGATGGGGCTCAGCAGCCCGTCGAGTTGGGGTGAATCGGGGCTGAATTGGGGCACAGTCAGTGCCGTGCCGCTGCGGCGAAGGGGGAAACCCCATTGCAGAGCGTGCGAGGGAGGTCAATCAAACCCTTCCTGAGCCCAGAGAGGAAAACCATACTAATAACAATAAAATCAACGGTGCTAGCGTATTCTACAGCAATGGTTCCAAATGCTGCTTTAGGGCCGGATCCATCTCTTGTGCTGATGTGGCTCCACTGGGCCAGGTGGAATCACTCCTCATTTTTACTTTATTGGTTGATTGATTCAGGCCTGACTATAATTAATACCAAGTGTCCATGATTAGTGCACAAGAGCCCTGGCTTCTGCTGGGTGTAGAGGACCAGCAGCATCAATGTGTTGGGTCTTAAAGGTGCTCGGCACCACGCAGCATGGGACCCCCGGCCTGTATTTAATTACATCTCGTTACATTAGGAGCCCTCTTCTCCCTCTCTGCTGCTCCAGCTCTGAAATGGGAGCCCCTGAAGCCTGTTAACACCTTAAATGCACACACAAAAAAGAAGCAACGCAATCGAAAGCAATAAATCTCTGCTTCTGAAGCTCATCCCATGGAATGGGATGGGGCTGGAGCGAGCCACTGGCTTGGGCACGATTCTTGGGGTGGTCAGCCAGCTTCCATCCATCCTGCTCATGGTAGGTCTCAGGAGAGATGTGAGCTTGCATGGGGAAGCTGCCTGATGCACTGGGATGCTGCCCGCCCACCCATGGGTGCTTCTACCACCGGTGGTCCCATCCCTGGTGGGTGGGAAAGCACCGAGGGCAGGTTTCCACAGGGTTTTGGGGAGGATGCAGGCCCTCAATGAGACTTTGCAAAGTGCCTGGTTGTTTCATGCACGTGGTCTTCCGATGGTTTGGGGTGAGCGTCTGCCAAAGCACTGGGCGCATCTTGGGAGCGTGAGCACTGTTGTGGTTTGGTAGGGATCATGAGTTTTCTGAAAGAGGTGTTGTTTTGGGCATGGTGTCCCTGTGGGCTTTCCGAGGCTGGGCAGGAGGGGACAGTGGTCCTTGGGCAGGATCAGCATCCTGGTCTAGTGGGAAGTGTCCCTGTCCAGGGCAGGGGGGTTGGAACTCAATGGTCTTTAAGGTTCCCTCCAACTCTAACCTTTCTATGATTGGGCACATCCAAACCCATGTGTCAAGCTGGGGGGCCGCCTTGGGAAGTCCCAGAGCCACATCACAGGGATGAATGGGGCTGAAGAGCAAGAGGCCACAGTCCTCTTGTTGTCACCAATGTGAGCTGACATCTGTCCCTTCCTTAGGACGGATGCTGCACCTCTTGTGCTGACCCAGGCAGATGTTCCTGGGGAAATCAAGTCCTGGTGGAAGAGCATCTCTGCTGCCCTCGGCACCATGTTTGAGAAATAGGGAATGCACCTGGATAAGCACTTGAATGTTTGGTTCAGGGCAAAAAAGGTCTGTGGGGGCTGTGGCTGGAAGCGATGTGTCAGGTTGAGCAAAGCAGAAGGGTCCAGATTTCTCCCCCGCACAGAGAAATGGTTCCACTATGGGTTTTAATGGGATTTGTGCCTGCAGGTCGGAGCTCTAGTGCTATTTCTAGCTTTGCTTCTGACTCACTGATGTGATCTTGAACCAGTTTTTCAGGAGGAGACTGTGAATTTTTTTCTTTTTTTTTTTTCTTTTTCTTGAGGAATTTGGTTTGAGAGACTCTGGGCCCTTTTCTGCAGAGATGCTCCCCTTGACTCTGGAACTGTGCAAAAACGAGCTGCAGAGTGGCTCAGACTGAGGATGCTAAATTAGGGACCGGGGAGGGGGAGAGTCCTGTTGTCTATGTTAGAGTGCACTGGGCCACCTAACGTAGGTGGTGTGGGTACCTCTCCTCCTCCCGTGGAGATATTTGCTGCTCTGCAGGGCTGGAATGGAGAACTGAAGCTCTTCGGTGTGAGAAGGTGCTCCTGGGTTGGCTCCCAGAGGAGACAGCACCTATATTCTAGTTTAATCCTTTGTGCCGTGTTTTTGGAGAGGTGGAAAGTGGTGGTTAGAGCACGAGGTGTCTTCTAACACCCAACCACATGCCTAAATCTGTAAGCAGCCCATCGGCTCTTGAATATCTTCCAAAATCTCTGCTAAGGGCAATGGGTTGAAGCTTATGTACGAGCTGGACATCACTGAGTGATTAGGGCTGTGAGGGAAAAAAATTATTTGTAGGGGGTGATATGTTTCATCATGAAAACTAATCTCTGGGGTGATATTTTGTGTCAAAGTCCTACAGATCTGCATCCTGAGCTATACGAAGAAAAGGATCTCTAGTTGGTGTTATGGGAGTGTAGCACGTGGGTGTATAAATATGGGCATATTTGTGCATAAATACACAGAAGGAGAGAAAAAAGACAGAGGAGGAGGAGGTATTTCAGGAAGGGCCTTGCTTTGTTATCAGATAATTCCTGGGTCAGCCCTTGAAATTGCTGCCAAAGTCTTGTAGCTCTTCCAGAGCTTGCAATACACTTCAGGATGGGTCCAAGCAAAGGAGATTGGGATCTGGCCTTGGGAGGGGGAGCATCCTGAGGGGCTGGTGGCATCCAGCTCCTCATCCCTCTGCAAAGCCCCAGCTTTGCAGCAGCTGGATCCCAAATCCCTGGCTCGGGCCCATCAGGACTGTTTCCATGACTGTGCAGGCAAAGCCAAGCAGAAGTCGGTGGGATTTGTTTGCGATGCAAGGGCTGTGCTGCACCAACTGGGGGTTTGGGTTCTTTTTTGCAATGGCTGGATTTCAAGTCCCTCGAATCATGCTGGTTTTTGGTCCCAGGGCAGTGGCAAGAAGCATCTCCCTGTGTTTTGGAGCCGGGGTGGGTTTATCTCAAGGTCTACATCCGTGGGGGAGTCCCAGGGGTTTCTTCTGTCAGTGAGAGCTGCTCAATGTGCTGCCAGGGAGAAAGGAGCTGAGGGGTGAGGAGAGGAGGACTCAGCGCCAAACTATTTTGTTTTGCACCCAAAAAAGAGGCTGGGGCTCCCTCCTTGCACCCATGGCAGCATTCAGCCTCCCCCATGGCCAGTGCATCCCTTGGTCCCTTCCATTGAGGACCAGCTGCTCTGTCCCACTGGGAGCCCCAAGGGGGGATATGGTCCCCCCTGTGCATCGGCCACTGTCCTACCCTCAGCCAGAGCACTGCTCTTCCTCACACCCATGTGAAGGGCACCCTACGGCCTCCTTCTCCCCATGATCTTATGGCATTTGGCTGCCCAAATTTCATCCCCCCCCTTCCTTCTCAGAAAGGGGTGCTCGGATCCTGCCACATCCCATCACGGGGGAGAGGGACCAGCAACTAGTGGTGTAAATCATCCCTGAGAGCACAGCACTGGTTTACACCTGGGGACAAGATCTCCCAGCCCAGTTGTATGTGATGAAAGATAAATTCCTTATCTCTTGTTTTTCCTCTGGGAGGGACGGTTTGGCTTGTAGGAGCTGCTGGATGTCACATAACCATGCAAAGTCCATCCGTGTGGACCCTCATGGGGGACCACGTCCCCTCCCCAGCCCCTACCTGGCTGTCCTGAGCTTGAGGTTGGTCTTTTGGGTGTTGGTTTTAATTATAATTATATATTTTTTTTAATTTTTTCTGCTGCCTATAAGACTGTAATTATCCGTTTGCACTTGCTCCCTCATTGCTTGAGACTGCGCTCTTGTCCTCCAATGTCACGCGCCGAAGCGCAAGGGGAAAATATGGGTATTGGATCAACCCCGCGTGCGGTGCCTAATTTGAGCGAATCGATAGGAAGAGGAAATCCAAGAAGGACTCATCCTAAGGATGCTGGAGCTGAACCTTTTGTTTCCATGGTTACGGGAGAAATGGGACCAGGAATGGAGAGAGGCCTATAAACTGTTCAAGGAGGACTCGGGGGAATTTCAAGTCATTTAACCATGCGTTTGCTAGACAAAAATTTAGACACCAGCTGTATCCGAATTGCACAGTGTGTATAGACGTTACTGCTCTTATTGACGCCGCGGGGGTGTCCTGGGGGTGGGGTGGATCTACGGGCTGCCAGGCACCCGAGTCAATAAGGCTGACCGTTGTATATAGGTATACAGATCTGTGTACATACATATTCCAAATGAGCATTTGCTGTCTGGTTTATCATGAGTGTATATAATTTATTCTTCACAGAGTATCACAATTTTTGTAAATATCGGCACTAATTAAGAGAAAATAAATATGTATATTATTGAGGAGTTATTTTGATATCAGTTCTGTGGAGGGTGGGGAAGAAAAAGACAAGAAACTGTAATTTTGGTAGGTGGGGTGTTTTTCTTTCTCTGTAGGTCTAAACCTTCTGTGAGAACGGAAAGAAACAGCCTTGAACCTTGGAAAAACCAGTTTGTGCTCCACCATCAGCCGCTCTGCAGGGGCTGTTGGAGTGGGAAACCCCTGGGAGAAGCTGATGGGTCTCTCGATGATGGGCACCAGCGAGGATGGACACTCTGCATGGTCTGTACGGGATCCCCCATGGGATTTGCTCCAAAGAAGCTCCAGCAGCCAAACAGGTGGAGGAGAAGGGGCTAGAGATGGGGTCAAGCCCACGTTCCCCATCATTTCCCACTCCACTGACTGGAATATCAGCCACATCCATGCAGGTAACAGGGAATGGGTGGTGCTGGGGAGAAACCTGCTCTTGGGAAACCTTGCAGGCACCCAAGGGGTATTTTTTTTAAGCTGGTGATCCCTCTTGCAAGAGGGAGAAACAAACAGAAAAGGATGGTGATAGCAGCACATCCTCTGTGGGGTTATAAACCTCATGTCCCCAGAGACATCTCCTAGTAGAATTTCCAGCAGGGAGTGGGGATGGACACCCCAGGGTGGCTTTGGCTCCACTTGCAGAGGAATGGTTTGGTTCTTCCATCCCTGGAGCAATATTTTCTCCTGCTGTTTTGTCTTTTCTCCTCTCCTATGAGTGTCTTGGGGCAGCAAAGGGGAGAGAAGGTTTTGGGGGGACTTGATGGGACTTGTGTTTTGAGGTTTGATCGTTTGCTTGGTGGCTTTTACAGGCAGTGTGGTTGTTCTGGGCTTCCCTTCTTGCAGGGTAGAGCCAAGGTAGCCCACCTACTCTGTGCTCATGGGATGAAGAGTAAAACATAAGGAGGAGAGATCCTTCTTCTTCCATGGCATGGGAAGGTCCTGCCTGGCTTTGGGAAGTGGCACCACCTTGTATCCCAAGCACAGCAGTGCTAAACCTCCACCTCAGCCACCCCAAATCCCCTCATATTGGTTGTAGAGGAGCTCCTGACATGGACTCAGGGTCAGGGTCCTTGGGTTGAAGTGTCGCTTGGGCCAGCGAGGCCCTGGTGTGACCCAGGGGACATCGTGTCCCCTTCTGTGCCTCAGTTTCCCTATCTCTTACACAGCTTGCTGAGCTTTCTTCAAGGAGCCAGCAAATTGTAAAGCTCAGCTCAACATTGGGACAGCAAACAGGCTTAAATGGGTGGCTGAACCCTCGGATGGATGTTGTTAGGAGGAGAGGAGGTATTAAAGAGCAGCCAGTTCTGAGCATTTAATATGGAAAACCATTTGTGTGCATAAAAAGTAACATTAGTATTTACGTGCAGTGCATCCTGAGTGAAATGTCACAGAGTTTGCTCTAATATTGAGTGGAAGCAGTCCCCAAACTGGGCCGGTTTGTGTTCCTCAGCCCCGTTTCCAAGCCCAGGAGAAGCTCCAGCTGGCTGCGGCAGATGCAAACCCTCCCCTTATCTGCGTCCCCTCGGCTTGTGGGCTCATAAATATCTAAACACAAAGTGGTACAAGGAGTTCGCAGAGTAGAGTCTGCTCTGCACAGGCTCTCCGAAGAGATGGCAGGAGGAGGCTGCGAGGCAGATAGAGTAATTATTTTAAATTGCTGGTCTATCAGCGTGCTCACCATCCCGGCAGCGATCGGAGGATGCGGGAGATGCCGTCAGGGGTGTTGCATCCTCCTGCCAGCCGAGCTGCTCGTGCTTTTCCACCCTTCGGAGAGACAAGGAGAGGGATGGAAGGATCACACCATCCAACACGGAGACCTCCCCGTGCTCGGGCAGCCCTTTCGGCATCTCCCAGCCCGTGATCCCAGCTGCGGCGAGCGGCTGATCCCCGCTGAGCACAGCCTGGCTGGTTATGCCTGTGCTAAATGACCTACTTTTCTCCACTTTCTTTGCCGAGTGTTGCCTCTCTGCCAGGAGAAACCCCACAAAACCCCTCACAGATCCTCTCTGGTGGATCCTCTCAGATCCTCTCCAAGGTGGCACAGTGATGCTCTTCAGGGAGGACCACCCCAGCACGCCTTTGCAAAAGCTCCTCTCTCTGCTGAGGGGCCCAAGCCCTCAAAATCCTGCTCTTTTACATCGAGGAAGGACAAGATTCAAGTGCCAAGAAAGCACTACCTCCGTTACTGGTCCTGAAAAGCTCAGGATGCTCAAACCCCATCACAGCCCATCGCATATGCCCCAGGGAGGAGCGGGGAATTTTTAGCCCTCCTGGCCAAGCAAACGAGTCCGCTTCCATTTGGCAAAGTGGGCACTTGGATCCTGAAAGCATCTCCCGGACCAGAGCTGGGAAGAGGCCATTAAGTGAGATGCTGAGAGCGGGGAAGGGAAAATGATCCCACACTCGGGATGCTGCCGCCCTCCCAGTGATGCTCTGTGGGTACCCAGGGCGGTGGGGTTGGGGGCAGGAGCTGCTGCAGAGTTAAACCATCACTGCTGCAGCGCCGTCGAGTCGGAGTAGCCTTAACCAAGCAGCTAAGTGCAAAAAAAAATATATAAAAATTGCAAATGTGGGGGTGTGAAGTGGGGCCCCCGCATCCTATCTTTAGGTAACCTCTAGGCAAAGGTTTGGTGCTTGCACAGCTCTCGCCGAGATGCACATTTATGCTGCAGCTCTGGAAAATCAGGCCAGGTCCCTCTTTCTCCTTCCCACTTTTCTCTTTACTCCTTCTTCTCCCTCCTTTGCATTTGTGCTGGGTGTTGGAAAAACCTATTCCTGGGCGCAGCGCTCTCATCCGCATCCCGGTGTGGTGTGTGGGGCAGGAGAAGGGGAGCTTTAGGCAAAGGAGAGCAGTGTCAGGCTATTAAAAAAACATCAATCTCAGCTTTTACAGGTGCAGAATTGAGTCTGCTGAGGCCCCGCGAAGGCAGGATGTGCTGAGGAGCTATGAAGGATTAGGGCAGACAAAATAATGAGGTGTGATCCAAGGATTAAAACCATCTCTGCCCCAATATTTAGAGCTACCCCAATATTTAAGCCCCTTGCTCCGATGTTACCCTGATTGCACGGGGAAGGCAGGTCCCTGGTTGTCTTTCTCAGTCCTGCTTGGACATGGCTTGTGCTTCTCTGTGCTGGGGAGATGCAGAACAAGCCATGGTAAGACTGCCTCAGCTTTTTACCCTTAAAAATGGTGGGAGAAGCTGGATCTGGGGTGCCCAGGATGTTTCTCCAAAGCTCAGCAGAAGGTTTGTCCCCCTCCTGCTCTCTGTCCCTTTCTGCCATGGGGGCAAAGCTTGCTCAGCGCCGGGCACAGGAGATGGGGGCATTGATCCAAGCCTGAACTTCAAGATGCTCCACAGATGAGTCTTGGGGAGATTATTGGTCTGAAGGATGGTTTGTTGAGTTTGCAGGGACTCGAGGAGGGATCTGGCTCTGCAGCCTCAGGGTAAGCAGAGAAACCCCGGGGCCGACGAGAACCCAGGGAGTTTGTTTCACTGCTGCTTTAATGCAGCCAAAATTATCTCCTGGCAAAAGCATTGCTGGGGTCCGGGGAGCTGGAGATGCCAAGGTCATCCTGCTCCTCACATCCTCACGCAGATCAACCGGGCACGATCCACCAGCTGCCCCCGTGTCTGCCCCAAACCTCCCTCCTGCCTCTCCCCTCCACAGGGACCGGGCAGGATCCGACCCCAAGGACATATTTTGGTTTTTTTATCCCCAGCGAGAGGTGAAGGTGGGGGACAGCCCAGGGAAGCAGAACAAATCTCTTCTGCCAGGCACCTGCTCCCTGCCTTGCAAAAAACCGCCGACGGCGCATCGTTTGAGAGCGTAGCCTTTTCCGCTTAGGCGCGGGGTTGTCTTCCACTGTCCTTTTATCCTTGGCTAATTAAAGGCAAATCTCTGCCGAAGGAACACAGTTCTTCGTAGCTGAGCCTTAATAACTAGAAAATGGTTGCAAACGCTCGGAGGCAGTTGCAGAAATCCTGGGCAGAAATAGCATTTTTATCTCGCCGCTCACCAGCTTCGGCTCCGGGGATAATAAATTTCCACGTTGTAGGAGGAGGCAACAGCAGATACAGACCCGTGTTGTCCGGGTTTACAAAAGGATCAGTTGGATGGACCAAGTAAACTCCCCACTCATCCCTGGGGAGGACCTCAGAGATGATGTGGCCATGGTGAGGTCCCACCGATCCTGGGTCCCCCGGGATGTCGTGGGGACCAGTTTGGGTGAGCCCCACCTGAGCAAACTGATCTCTGGGCACCCAATTCTTCTCATCCCCAAGGAGATACCTACAGACAGTTGAATTCCACCTGGAAAGGGCATGACCCTGCTGGAAAGGAAGGTGAGGGAGGTCCCAGGTCCCTGAGGCTGGGTGAGATCTTTGAGATGGGTCCTGGGGAGCCCAAAACCAGGCTGGGAAGGTGGAAAGGGCAGAGGGAAGATGGATCATGGTGTTTGCTTTCCCATTTTGCTGTGGCTGCTCTCTGTCCCCTGCCAGCACTGCAGGGTGGAAGGGCTTTGCTCCAAACCTCGTGTTTTATCCCCGTGGGAGGGACTGGGCAGCCCCAGGGGAAAGGAATGGGGCTGGAAGCTGTTTCTCCAGCTTCAGCTGTCTCAAACCAAGCAACCTGGTCTGCTGGGGTACCTGGGGCTCTGTCTGTGCCCAACGTGGAGACTGGCACCTCCAAGGGATGGAAGGATGAAGCTCCCTTCGGCTGTTGGCCTCCCTCCAGCAACTGCACAGGGGGTCCAGATGGTTGCAGCTTCTTCCACTTCCAGACTAGTCCGATCCCCGCTCTTAAGCATTCACATGCTGGTTATTTCCACTCTTTAAAAGGCAGAAGGAGAATTTAACCCTGAAGGACCTCCATCAGATAAGAAGGATGCTCTGCACTTGTGTAACGGCTCCCAGCCAGGCAGCCCAAAGCACTTTAGTCACAAATGTTTTTATAAAGGTTTTGGGTTACTGTAATGCCCTGAAACGCTTAAGGATAT